TTTCACCAGATATACTATTCTAGGGTAAAAGTTTTTTTTTTTTTTTTTTTTCCTTCAGCACTTTAAATATGTCATGCCACTCTCTCCTTGCCTTTAAGGTTTCCACTGAGAAGTCTGCTGCCTGACATGTTTGAGCTCCATCATGCTTTTTTTTTTTTTTGTTCTTTCTCTCTTGTTGCTTTTAGGATCCTTTATGCTAGATCTTTGGGAGTTTGATTATTAAATGCTTTAAGGTAGTCTTGTTTAGATTAAATCTGCTTGGTGTTCTATAAACTTCTTGTACTTGGATATTGATAACTTTCTCTAGGTTTAGGAAGTTCTCTATTATCCTTTTGAATAAACTTTCTACCCCTATCTCTTTCTCTACTTCCTCTTTAAGATCAATAACTTAAATTTGCCTTTTTGAGGTTGTTTTCTAGATCGTGTAGGTGTGCTTCATTATTTTTTATTCCTTTTTTTTTGGTCTCCTCTGACTGTATATTTTCAAACAGCTTTAAACTCACTAATTCTTTCTTCTGGTTGATCAATTCTATTATTAAAAGACTCTGATGCATTCTTCAGTATGGCAATTGCATTTTTCAGCTCCAGAATTTCTGACTGATTCTTTTTCATGATTTCAATATCTTTGTTAAATTTATCTGATGAATTCCTTCTCTCTGTTATCTTGAATTTCTATGAGTTTCCTCAAAACAACTATTTTCAATTCTCTGACTGAAAGATCACATATCTCTGTATCTCCAGGATTGGTCCCTGTGCCTTATTTAGTTCATTTGGTGAGGCCATGTTTTCACGGATGGTGTTGATGCTAGTAAATGCTCTTCAGTTTCTGGGCATTGAAGAGTTAGGTATTTATTGTAGTCTTCACTGTCTGGGCTTGTTTGTAGCTGTCCTTCTTGGGTAGGCTTTCCAGGTATTTGAAAGGGCTTGGGTATTATGATCTAAGCTGTATCTGCTTTAGGGCACAACCCAAGCCCAGCAACACTGTGGTTGGTGCAGACTGACAGAGGTACCACCTTGATTGTCTTGGAGACAATTGATCTGGGAGAATTCTCTCTGGATTACCAGATAGAGACTCTTGTTCTCTTCCCTTACTTTCTCCCAAACAGAGTCTCTCTCTTTGTCTGTTCTGAGCCACATGAAACTGGGGGTGGAGTGATACAAGCACCCTTGTGGCCACCATCACTATGACTGCACTGGGTGACACCTGAAGCCAGTATAGCACTGGGTCTTGCTCGAGGCCTCCTGTAACCACTCCCTGGCTACTGCCTGTGTTCGCTCAAGGCCCTGGGGCTCTGTAATCAGCAGGTGGCAAAGCCATTCAGGTCTGTATTTTTCCCTTTAATGTGGAGAGATCCCCCAGGCCTTGTGCAGGTCCAGAGGTGCCATCTGTCTGAGAGCCAGGGACTAGAGTAAAAAACCTAAGAAGTCTACCTGCTGTTCTGTTGTACTGTAGCTGAGCTGGCACTCGAACCACAAGACATAGTCCTGTTCACTCTTCCTTCCCCTTTCCAAAGGCAGAGGAGCCTCACCCTATGGCCACTGCCACCTCAGGCCCGCACTGAGTAATGCCAGATTACTGCCGATGTTCCCTTAAGTCCTGAGGGCTCTTCGGTCAGCTTGTGGTGCATGCTGCCTGGCTTGGGACTCACCCTTCAGGGCAGTGGGCTACCCTCTGGCCCAGGACAGGTCCAGAAATGCCATCCAAGAGCCAAGTCCTGGAATCAGGGACCCCAAGAGCCTACTTGGTGCTCTACCCTTGTGGCTGAGCTGGTAACTAAAGTCAGCAGGTCTCAGAGTCTCACCCAAGGCCCTTGATGTAGCATCTGGGTATCACTGGTGTTTATTCAGGGCCCAAGGGCTCTTCAGTGAGCAGGTGATGAATGCTGCCAGGACTGGGTCCTTTCCTTCAAGGCAGTGGTTTCCCTTCTGGCCCAGGGTATGTCTAGAAATGCCCAGGAGCTAGGGCCTAGAAAGGCAGCATCATAACTCTGACTCATGCCCTGTTCTGTAGCTGAGTTGGCATCTAAGATGTAAGACAAAGTCCTCCCCACTTTTCCCTCTCCTCTCCTCAAGGGGAAGGAAAGTGTCTTTTCTGGAGCCACAAGCTGTGTATCTTGGTTAGGAGAGGGGTGATGCCAAGTACTGCCTTAGCCACTCCACCTGATGTCTCAGTATGTCTCCTGCTCCCCCAGTCCACTGTCTCTGGGTCCAATTCAGTACTAGGAGTCTCCTAGGAATTGTAGCCCTTGTGGCCTAGACTGCCTTTCAAGTTTATTTAAAGCCCCAGAACACTTTAGCCCATGGTGGCAAGGCTTGTGGGAACTAGAGTTCTGACCCCTGGGATCGGTGATTCCCCTCTGGCTAGAGCTGGTTTAAATCCTCCCTCTGTGGTCAGGTGTCAACTTAGTTTGATCTAGTTTTCCTTTCTGCTATAACAAAGGCAGCACTTAGTCAATGCCTCACAATTACTGGGTTCTCCCTTCCCCAGAGCCCAGAGATACTCTGGGCACCATGGGCCCCTGCTGGGGGTGAGGGAGGGGTGGCGTGGGTGATTCAAGACTGTTTTTTCTTTTACCTCTTTGGTGCCTCTTTCAGCCATACGAAGTTAAAATCAGGTACTGTGAGTGCCCACATTTTTTGGTTCTTATGAAGGTGCTTTTTTTTCTGTACATAATTGTTAATTTGGTGTCCTTAGAGTGGGGATTGGGGGACAGGACAGATCAGTGGAGCTTTCTACCATCTTGCTCTACCTTCTCCCTATTTTACATTTTGATAACCACCATTCAATAACCTCTCTTGGGCCCTGCAATGCAGTGAGGAGCTTTGATGCGCAAATGTTTGCATCCTGGATCCATCCTTTACTATGCGTTTGATCTTTAACAAGTTATTTAATGTCTCTGAGCCTGTTTCCTTATCTGAAAATGGAGACAATGACAGTGTAAACATCACAGGGTCATTGTAAGGATTAAATGAGATAATCTCATCTAAAATCCTTAGTAAGCACTCAGTGAAGGAAAGGAGGAAGGATTTTCTATGTTCCTTGACTCATTAGCAAACCCCAGAAGTTAAATAAACAATCAGTTAAATGGGGGGAAGAAAGTTGTATGTGTGTGCATATGTGTGTATTAAATAATCGTTTCAAACCACTTAAAAAATTTTTAATATCACCACCACTCAGACTTAAAACTAACATGTAGTAGTCTTTAGTGTTGCCAATAATTACTAATGAGTCTCCCTAGCTTGGTTTTGTTGGTTACATCAATGTTGCTAAATTTAGTTTTTCCTTCCAAGATTTAACTTTAGCCAGATTGGTCTAAGTAATAAAATTAACCCTATCATCTTACACAGTAGGGACTTATCTTTAGAGAATGAGTGTAAACTTTTCTTAATAACAGAGAAGATAACCTTAAACTTCAAGGATGGGTGGGGTGATTGATAGCGGAGCAGGGTGGGAGAGAAGTGTTTCCAGAGAGGATGATCACATTGCCAACACTCGAACGGATCAGTGGAAGTCCTTTGGCTTGCTGATGAAACAGAGAGCTCAGGGTGGAAATGACAACCCATCCTCTGGCAAAGTAGACTGTGGACCCCTGCACAGGCTATGAGTGTCCTATTGCCCAACAGGGACTCTGTAGGCTATGGGATCTGGGTGTGGACCACCAGCCTTTCCTCCATCTGAGTGGACTTGTGTTCATGAAGTATCTTCTGGAAGTCCAGCAGATAGAAAGTAACATACAGAAAGAGCAGACCAGGACTTGAGAATTGGGGGGCACAGGGAAGATGAAGGATGAAAATAAGTAGGACAGGGCTTTTTCAAATATTCTCTTAACACCGAGGCTGAAACAGGCATAGATCATTCCCATAAATCACAGAGAGTTTCATGAGAAACTCTCCTCTCCCCACCTTTTGGGACTATAGATCTTCAACATCTATTTAGTTATCTAGGTGCATTTTCTCAATGTTAGTAATTCTGCGGGGAGGGGAGAGAGCAGTCACCACCAGAAAGATAGAGGCGATGTCTCAGGTTGGCTTGCCCCTGGCTGCCGGCCAAGGTCAGACACGAGCATAAGTGCTGTCATGTCCAGGCAGCAGGACAGAATGGAAGGAGGTTCAGACTCAGTCTTTCAAGTTCTACTCAAAGCCCAACTCAAGTGATACCACCTGTGGAAAGTCTTCCTTTGTGCTCCAGAGCAGGTAGTGTCCTTTGCCCTTAGATGGACGTATGATGGTATTTACTTAGTTGATTACCTGTTACTCTTCCCCAATGGACAGTAGACTGGCTGCTTGACAGCTGGGATTCTTTTCTCATTAATCAGTGTATCCTTTTTAGAATGATGTATCAGGTATCTTTTGCTTCATAAAACTTCCCACTCTTTATGTATTAAAATTACAAACATCTTTATTATTTATCACAGTTCTGTGGATTATCTGTACAATTCTTATGGTCTGTGTCAGCCTGACTGGGGTTGGATATAGTCTAGGATGGCTTTACTCATGTGTCTGGAAGTTGGCAGGCTGGTTGATCTGCGAACAGGGCTCAACTGGGATGATTCATTTATGTTCCACGTGGTCTCTGATCCTCCGGTAGGCTAGCCCAGGATGCCTTACTTGGTGGTCTCAACTCTACAGAGCATGCATGTAAGTTCTGATGCATAGGTTATTAACAAACCTCTGACTGCATCACATTTACTAATGTTCCATTGGTCAAAGCAAGTTACAAGGCCAAGATCAAATTTAAAGGGGAGAGGCCAGGCACGGTGGTTCACACTTGTTATCTCAGCACTTTGGGAGGCTGAGGCGGGTGGATCACCTGAGGTCAGGTGTTTGAGACCAGCCTGGCCAACATGGTAAAACCCCACCTCTGCGAAAAATACAAAAATTAGCCGAGTATAGTGGCAGGTGCCTGTAATCCCAGCTACTCGGGAGGCTGAGGCAGAAGAATTGCTTGAACCCGGGAGGTGGAGATTGCAGTGAGCCGAGATTGTGCCACTGCACTCCAGCCTGGGCAACAGAGCGAGACTCCATCTCAGAAAAACAAACAAACAAAAACAAAACAAAACAAAACAAAACCCACAGATAAACAAACAAAAAAATTTAAGGGATACAGATATAGACTTCATCTTTTCATAGGAGCAGCTGCAAAGTCACATTATCAACAGGAATTTATGGTCATTTTTACAATATTCTACAAAATCTTGTTTGGTGCACAGTAGGTAATCAAGAATGCATGTTGCAAGAATTAGGAGGTAAAGTCTATTCAAATAATTTTCATGTTCACCCCTCATCCCTCCCCATTGGCACATCTACTTGCATGCCTCCTATTCATTGTTGGGATCTTTGAGTTGGGAGGAAATGTTATCTAATGGTTTGAAATGTTTGTTGCCCCTGATTCAATCAATACGCATGGGTCCTTTCTATCTGAGAGTTTCACACTGGTCATCTTGGCCCTACCCATCTCAACACTGGAGCCGTGCACAACTTTCTGACTTGTGGATTATGTACCCACCCTTAGTGTTTGCTTTTTGAACAGACCCAGAAAAGGGAAAACCGGTTGTCTGCCAAAGCGTGGACAGTATCAGCTGGCTGCACCTCCTTCGGCCAGTTGCTTCCACTTGGGGCCCTCTGGTGGCTTCTTCTTGCATAGCTCCAGGTTAGGTATGAAATTCACTGTCCGAATTGTCATAAGCTTGGCTAGAGTCCAGAGCCTTCCAAGGTAAAGCTCACAATGTGGTGGAATGCCAGAGATATGAAAAGAAGTAATAAACAAAACAAAATTTAAAAAAACCAACACCATTTAGAGCTTGTAGCTTTCTTGTTTCACCATGACTTTGCCCAGAGAAAAGGCAAAGCAGTGACATAAAGATAATGCATATAAAAGAGATCCGGCTGGGCGAGGAGGCTCACGCTTGTAATTCCAGCATTTTTGGAGGCCAAGGCAGGTGGATCACCTGAGGTCGAGAGTTCGAGACCAGCCTGACCAATATGGAGAAACCCCAT